CTGCGAGCAATTGAGGTTACGTCGCACGTACTGACACGAGATGAATCCCAACGTGAGAATCGAAACTCTCGGAAAAGACAACTTCGACACTTGGAAGTTGCAAATGCAAGCGCTATTAATAAAGAACGATGCTTGAACCTACGTTAGCGGGGAAATTCCGAAACCCGAACGTGACACCGGAAACGCCTCTCAGATAGAAGTCGACACGTGGATGCGGAACGACAATAAGGCGAAATCAGATATCATCCTATCGATAAGCCCGTCGGAACTCAAGCAGATCAAAGGTTGTGAGACCTCGCGCGAACTTTGGTTAAAATTAGAGCGCATTTATCAGTCGAAAGGACCAGCACGAAAAGCGACACTCTTAAAGCAACTCGCACTGCAGCGGATGGAAGAAAGTGACGACATTCGCGAACATATTCGAAAATTCTTTGACGCGGTAGATAAACTCGGCGAGATGGACGTGGATATTAATCCAGATTTGCTGGTAATTATGCTGTTATACAGTCTACCCCCGAGCTTTGAAAATGTTCGTTGCGCGATCGAATCACGCGACGAGCTGCCGTCGCCGGAAGCGTTACGTATTAAGATCGTCGAAGAAGGCGATGCCCGAAAAAACGACGCACGCGCAGGTACGCAAAATGCTCTACTGACGAACAAGGATAAACGCCGGAATCCGAGGAAGAAGACAACCGGTGGCGACAAATCTAACAAAGAAGAATTCAAATTTCAGTGTCATCGCTGCTGGAAGTACGGACATAAAGCCTAATGTAGACAAGGACGCAACACCGCACAGCCGGCACAGGCTACGAAGAAAACGGAAGACGTCAGTCTATACATCGACTACGAATCGCGCGATCAGAACGCTATGTACGTGAACAAACTAAACGAAAGCGTGAAGTGGTGTTTAGATAGTGGCGCGACGTCACACATGTGTCGGGAATTAAGCGAGTTCGCGAATACAGAAAACGGTAATCACGGACGATTGAATCTAGCGAACGGCACGTCCACACAAATCGCGGCGAAAGGAACGATCACATTCGCAACCGACGTGCACGGCGAAACAAAAAATATTCATCTGCAAAATACTCTACACGTGCCGGATCTCCGTATGAATCTTATGTCGGTGGCGCGAATTACGGATAACGATTTCAGAATAGTCTTTAGTAAAACCAACGCCAAAGTAATCGACGATAACGGAAACGTAAAGTTGACAGCGGATCGGGTCGGCGACTTATATTACGTGCGCGAAAATTCACACGAACATTGCAAAATCGCATCGGACACTAAGTCAATCTCCTCACATACGCTTATGTCCTGGCATCGTATACTCGGACACCTTAATTTCAAGGATCTTCTGGACGCTGAACGTAGCGGAACCATTTCAGGAATCAAGATCGAACAACGTGATCCGAAGACACAGTGTGACATATGCATTTATGGAAAAATGACGAGGACGCCCTTTCCCAAGGAGTCTAATCGGAAAACAGAGCTACTAGATATTATACATTCTGACGTATGCGGCCCGATGAGAACTGCATCTAATGGTAGAGCGGAATACTTCGTGACCTTCATCGATGATAGCTCAAGATGGTGCGAAATTCGCTTTCTAAAATCCAAAGACGAAGTCTTCGAGCATTTTAAGGACTTTAAGCAACTCGTCGAGAACCAAAAAGGAAGGAAAGTAAAATGCCTGCAATCAGACAATGAAGGCGAATACATAAGCAAAGAATTTGACAAATATCTAAAAGAACATGGCATCACCAGAAGGTTGTCTGTCCCACGCATTCCTGAACAAAATGGCGTAGCGGAACGAAGAAATCGTACTCTTCTAGACACCGCCAGATGTCTTTTGGCTCAATCAGGTCTACCTCCAAGGTTTTGGGCGGAAGCGGTCAACACCGCGAATTACCTCAGAAACAGATGTCCTACAAGGAGTCTCGAAGGTATGACACCCCACGAAGTCTGGACTGGCAACAAGCCGGATGCGAAGCATCTCCAAGAATTTGGTTCTAAAGTTCTTCACTGAAATGCAGATCCCACCAAGGGTAAACTTGCATCATGCAGCAAGGAAGGTATTTTCCTAGGATACTCGGAACAATCCAAGGGTTATCGAATCTGGTTACCCAAAGAACGAAAAGTTGAAATATCACGAGATGTTAAATTTCTGAAAAGCGAGGAAAAAGGATCGGAAGAAAACGACGGACGTATTCCGAAAATTCACATAAAACAGGCACTAGATCCTCATGAAATAGAAATCGACCTAAGTACCTCGAACAAGAATACGGAAACTCACCGGAACAGCATCTCGGAAATAACTGATCACGATTCAGATCAACAGACGAGGATTCCCCAGAAGTCGCGGACGAGAAACCAGCACACGAAAGATCCACAACTCCGAAAAGAGGGCCCGGAAGGCCTAGAATAGACCGAACTGGAAAAAGAGGAAGGCTTCGAAAACTGTTCCATGAACTTTCTCAATCCGCAAATACTGTGGAAGAATACTACGCTTTTCTATCAGAAGTACCTTTGAAGCAAGCAATGGCAGGCCCGCATGCAGAAGAGTGGATACAAGCGATGGCATCGGAAGTAAAATCCATTATTAAAAATGACACATGGGAAATCGTACCACGCCCCACAGACCACCATATCATTGGAAGCCGAATAGTCTTGAGAAACAAGTATCACCCGGACGGCTCTGTCGAAAGAAGAAAAGCTCGTTTGGTAGCACAAGGATTTGCACAACATCCGGGGATAAACTTCAACCAGACCTTCGCCCCCGTGGCCAGGATAGGTTCTATACGGTTGGTAACCGCTGTGGCAGGTCGCTACGGAATGGATATACAGCAACTAGACGTGACGACTGCATACTTAATGGAACCCTCAACGAACAGGTGTACATGTCTCCATCTGTAATGCTAAATAAATGCTTGGAAACGATCATCGAATCGGAAACGGACAACAGTAAGCTAGGTATCAAAGCAAGACAGATGCTCGAGGAATTAAAAACCGACAATGGAGTCTGCTTACTTAAGAAATCTCTTTACGGCCTTCGACAAGCAGGAAAATGCTGGTACAACAAACTCGATCAAACTCTAAGAAAGCACGGAGCTATTCCTTGTCACGCCGATCCATGCGTGTATTGTATCGGACAAGGAGATAACTTGTTGTTAATCGCTATCTACGTCGACGACATCCTATTAGCCTCACGTGATCATGAAGCGATAAACGATATGAAGAAGAATCTATCACAAAAATTCGAAATAAGAGATCTTGGAAGAGTAAACTGTTGCCTCGGAATTCAGTTTATACGAAACGGCAGCAAGATTACTATGCATCAAAAAGGATATATCGAAGATATTCTAAAACGCTTCGGAATAACAGAATCGAAGCCCGTCGGTACCCCAATGGACTCCAACGTGAAGTTGACATTACCAGAAGACGCTTTCGATAGTAACGACGAGAAGCTGCCATATCGCGAGTTGATCGGAGCACTTACTTACCTGGCTGTCGCTACAAGGCCAGACATCGCATTCACTGTCAGCTCACTGAGTCAATTCAATAACTCCTACTCGAATATACATTGGACTGCCGCGAAACTCGTACTGCGTTATCTGAAAGGAACAGCGAGCTGGGGTTTGGTTTACGAAGGAGATACCGAACCACTCAAAGGTTTTGTTGACGCCGACTGGGGCAATAGCCTAGTCGACAGACGCTCTTTTACAGGATACGCCTTCATCCTGAGCGGATGCGCCATTTCGTGGGAAGCTAGGAAACAACGGACCGTAGCACTCTCCTCAACTGAGGCGGAGTACATGGCCCTCTCCGAGGCCGCCAAGGAAACGGTCTATCTACGCAGCTTCCTGCAGGAGTTGGGTCTGCACGATCTGACGAACGTGACTGTCTTCAACGACAATCTAGACGCAAAGAGGCTCGCTGATAATCCTATGTTCCACTCGAGAAGTAAACATATTGATCTGAGACATCATTTTATACGAGAAGTATTAATTTCAGGACAACTGCGGATCGAGCACGTTCCTACGGAGGACATGATCGCTGATGTGATGACCAAAACCCTGCCTAGACCGAAGCACGTCAGATGTCTCAGAGCAATTGGATTAGCACTCCTTTAAATCTACAGACAAACAACGGGAGTGCATTTCGAGGGGGAGTGTTGGTAATACCGATACGAAACGCACCACTGGTGTGTCGGCAACGCGCGGCGCTGGCAACCTGTCCTCCCTACTACTTCTACTTCTTGTACACTCTCTTGAATACAACTGCTTGTCGCGTTAACTACGTTCTCTTATAACGTGCATTACAATGAACGATGTGCTATTCTTATAATATATTCGGCGTCGTTCCTCACTCTGTCCCATCGATCCTACGAACCTCATCAATATTGACTGTATAATATTTTATTATGAAACATTAGTTTAAACCTGCACAGTCTAATATGATTTGATATTGATTATATATACAGAAATAAAATAAATATATGTTAGTGTATATTAATCTACATATATAAATATATTTTTTTTTTCGAAGAATAAAAGAACTGTGTTTTCTTTATTTCGTTTTCTAAAAGTTCGTTTTTTTACGGAATTAATAATAAAATAATCTATTTATGTATTCAGACACGCACGCACGCACACACACACACACACACACACACACACACACACACACACACATTTTTTAAATAAAATTGAATAAATTATTATAGAAAATCATTGTTTTAACAATTCTGGGAGAAAGCAAATTTTTTCACAGATACAGGAAAAAATGGTATTTTGATCGTTTCTTAAGCGGTTTTTCGAATGTTTCTTAAACGTTTTTTTATTAGAAAAAAATTTTTCTTAACGTTTTTCGAGTGGACATTTTAACCAATCAGAAACGTTTCCAAGAAACATTTGTGAAACGATTTTTAAACGTTATGTGCTACCTGGGTTATTATTATAACATTATTGTAAAAAGCTCTTATAATAACTAGTACGATAATGATGCGTACTGGACTGTATTCATTGAACGGTATCTTGTGCTCCCAACGCGGTACGAATACGTATGGAGCGCATATAAAGAGACGTTTTCGTTCATATCTAAAAAATGGATTTTCGGAACGTGATTTAAATACACATCATTGTTTTCAGCGTAAAATTCTCTTTAATTTTCGTCATATGAAGAATTAAAAAATTTTTGAAAATTAGAGTGGAGGGTGGGGATATACAATAAATAAATGTAAAAGAAAATTTTTTTATTATAGTTGTAAAGTACTCTTGCAACCGTTCAATTTTTATTTTAGAAAATTTTTTCTATCTCTTATAGTTTCGAAGATATTCGCTTCGAAAGAAAAAAACCGATTTTCTTCAAGGGAGGATTTCACCCCCTTAACATGCGACTCCGCACGTATAAAAAAATACGTGTCTCTTATTTTTGTCTATAGAACAACATACTAAAAGCTCATTTAAATCGAAGAGATCCACTTGGTTGTGTTCCCTTGTCAGTCACGCATTATATTAACAGATTATCTCTTTTTATGATAGCAGAACATACATGATAATGAATACTCAGATATACTCAGATATACTCAGATATACTCAGAGGAGATCATAAATGACGTTTTTTTATATACGCGTTATGTGTTTGCGTGAATATATAGAAAGGCCTATGTTTCTTTCTTGTAAAACGCTTCCGTTCAAACGCTTTTAATAAAAAAAAAAAAAAATATTATGTACTCATATTTTTCCTTTACAGATTTCGTTCTGATCGCTGTGATCATGATATTCTATAGATACAAAATGAATCCATACAATCTGGCGACTCCTCTAGCCGCGTCTATCGGTGACGTCGTGTCCATCAGTATTCTCTCCACCGTTGCATCAGAATTTTACAAAAGGCTGTACACAGAAGTATGGATACTGTACATCGTTATAGGAATGTACTTGGTGCTTTTGCCGATTTGGATTATAATCGTGCTGAAGAACAAATACACGAGAACAGTATTAAAGTCTGGCTGGGTCCCCATTCTGTCTGCTCTTATGATCAGTGGGTTAGTATAGCCAAATTGGCTTATTTTATTTAATCTAGCTTTCTGAGAGAATTTTATTCCAAGTCGTTTGTCCACGAATATTCCAGTCAATCTCTTTGTCTCACGATTATATTATTAATTCATTATCAATTTTCATTTTCGCTCTATAATTCACATAATCATGCCATTATTAACATTTAATTAGTCGCGCAAAGTTTTTGCGATTCCCAGTCATTTTGTTTAATAACATATTTTTGTGAAACTATAATTAAAGATCAGTTATAATTCGATTATTATTTTGTTTAACGTACAATGTTAGTTAAACATTTAAATTTATATTTATTAATATCTTGTCTTTAGCGGAGGTGGATTAGTTCTTGAGAGAATGATCGACTCTTATAAAGGATCTGAAGTCTTTCAATTAGTCATTAATGGGATTGGCGGCAACTTAGTATCGGTGCAAGCGTCTCGAATGTCAACCATGTTGCACCCGACTTCTATCCTAGGAATTCTACCACCGCACGACAAAATTTGTCTGACATCGTGGAACGCGCTTTTCATGGGATGTACGTATAACTCCACAAAGAAAATAATAATCGGAATTAACACGTTCCTAATTCCTGAAATTACTTTAATATTAAAATTTTTAATATAAATGTTTAATGTCCGATATTTAAAAAAAGTTCTTTTTTATAAATAGCAATATATGCCAAAACCGCAAGATTGCTCCTCGCTATGGCCACCCCCGGTCAATTGATCTTTGTTTTCATCGCTAATGCTTTAAACCCGGGCGATTGGAAGATACATGTATACTTTGTATTCTTTTATGTAACTGCTTCCTTATTGCAAGTAAGTCGCGCAATCTCAATTATTTTATTTCGATTTTGCGAACTGTGGAAACAAATTAAGTCATAACGGAAATTATTTCAGGTAATGCTTCTGTTGTACGTGGCACACATAGTCATTCACGCGATGTGGAGGTGCAAAACCGACCCAGACAATTCGGCGATCCCCTGCTTAACGGCACTGGGTGATTTGAGCGGATCGCTGCTCTTAGTGTTAGCTTTCTTCTTTGTATATTTGATACAAAGACCATATTGTTTCGATTAAGTGAAACGTAAATCTGAGGTAGAAGTAAAGTCATCGCACAAGTGCAAATGCACATATACACATATACACAAACATACGGCGTAAAGATCTTGTAACAATCCCTGATTTTTTCATTATGAGACACAAGGATTGGGTACTCTGTGCTGTCAAAATAATTTAAATGCCTTGATTCATGGTATTATATAACTCGAGATGACTCGCAAAACTGAAAAATAACGATAAAATAATGTCAAGAAGCGAGACACAATGAGGGAAATATTCAGATCACAAAAATATCTTTGTTAACAAGAATTTCGAAAGATCTAGTTGCCAGTAATGTTACTATACACATGTAATCGGCTGTGAACTACAAGTGTGATGATCATGAAGCAGCACGATAATTAGCAGTTTTAGAATATTGTTACGTCCTGTAGAAAAAAAAAAAGAAAGGATCTTGGTCAGCGTCATGACTAGAGTGAGCTTTGCGAGAAGAGACCGAGCGCGGATATCTGATAATAGAGAGCTAAGTGAACGCCACGCGCTGGGAAACTCGTAAATGCCACTCAAGAGAAAAATCAAAAGAGGAAAACAGCTTTTGCGTACAAAGGGCTGGCGGCGATAAAAATTGCGAAACGGTATACTTCTAAGCGGTCCCAGGGTAACAAACACTCTAAATTACCCTCTGGAGGTGATCCGCAATTCTAAGGAAACTAGTTTAAAACCTAAAATAAATAAAATAAAGAATGCGAACTCATATAATTTACGAAATGGAACTTATCACACACATTAAGATGTCTACAATTATTTCTACTCAGAACTTAATGATTCTTATTAAATTTTTCTGTATTAATTTTTCTGTATTAATTGTAACATTGAAAATGACCCGATTGGAATCGAAACGTATGTTTTGTTTACGTAATTTTTATATTACGAGTACTGTACAAGCTCTTTTTATAATTTGTGCTCTTCAAGTCTCACATTACGAACATGGAAAATAATTTTTGTATCGTGTCAAAAGACTACTTTAAATTCTATAAACATGAGTAAAGTTGTCATAAAGTTATTAAAATATCAAGCTCTAATAAAGAAAAATTTAACTATCGATACCCTACTATGTACGTATAAATCATACTTCTTGTCTTCCTTTTCTTTCCTTCCTTTTCTTTCCTATCCTTTCCTTCTCTTCCTTTCCTTTCCTTTCTATACCCTTTTTTTTAAGAATAATGTAACATGTCTCCTTTTCTTTTTAACTAAAAATAAAATCAAACCACACAAAGAATCGATTTACAAACTACAAAGAATTAGAAGAAATAAATTAATAAAGGTTATAAACTTATCTGATTGCGAGACGATCTTGAACAGTGAAGTCTTTTACGCTTAAAATCAAAATCAAAATCTCCGCGATGACAACTGCTCACGAAGTAAGCGACACGAGGGAACCAATCAGCAACGCGGATAAGCGACAACAATAAACTTCGATAGATTTGAGTTATCGACTTAACAAGCAATAATTTCATTAATATCCTTTTTTAAGAAAGGATATTAATGAAATTATTGTGAGTTAAATCGATTTTTTACTGTAATAAGTAGTGCCATCATAATTTATAATCTACATAAAATGATTACTGTAGAGCGTGTAAAAGACTTAGTGGTTATTTTGCAATACATATATGTAGAGGAACAGTAAAGCATGTTGTATATAGTAAAATACAAGTGCTTTTCTCCTGTATTGTTTGTTTAATTAGATGTCTTATATATCCCATCTATTTAGGATATATGGCATTTTTAGCGAGCGGGATTTCTGCCGCAGCACAGACGCTCTATTTAAGAAGTTTTTGTTAATTCTAACAATTATATTTTGCATTAACGCATAAATGTTGATAAATCTTAAACGTTTAAGGGGAGATATACACCTAGCATGGTCGAAAAAAATCGATTTTTTTCTTTGCATTTTCTTGAAGCTTGAGATCTCAAGAATATCTGGTGAAAATTGCAAGTCAATATATCGATAAATGACGAAATTACAGCCGTCTCCGTGTTGAGAGCGCGCCGAGCCGAGAGGCAGGTAGCGGCAAGCGACCCTTCGAAGAGAACCCTTTTGCGTGTCTAGACTTGTTTTACAATTCTATTGTGTAAAACCAAAATTTAGAAGACATGAACATTCCGTCGACCGTAGAAGACACTACACAGACTAACACTATGTCATGACAGACACTACAGAAGACTTACACTATGCGCCTGGTATCGATGATTCCATGTAAGTTGACAAATTTCATGATTTATTCATTCCTAAATTTTCAAACGCGTATTTCTCGAAAGCACGTTTTTCAAATCGGTACCCAAAATTTCTCGAAAACCAATGAACCGATTGCCTTGAATTTTTTTGTGGTTATTCTATACATCAATATCTAGTACTTGTCGTAGGATTGTTTTTTTTCGTTGCTTAGTTTTTGTTTTATAGGCAAAATAATAACTAATTTTTGGTCGAAAAATCGCTGTTATATTCAAACGTCCGCCATTTTGTCATAAATCGATATTTTCAAAATCGGCTATGATAAGTACTAGATTATAGTATCTAATTTAATAATCATTTTAGTTTTTTTGTTTCAGATGATTTTTGAAGAAACGCCAGTAGGTACCGTTTACCCGGATTTTTTTACAGCGCTCCGAAGATTATATAACAACCTCGTCAATTCTTGATTTTTTTAATAAAAAAAATTGAAGATATTCCTGAATGTGTATACTTTTAGATAGAAAAACTCCCAATCCGAAATTTCAAATAATTTTCCTTAAAAAAATTCACAAAGATGACCTTTTTTCCGGCTCCTAGGTGTATATCTCCCGAGGGTTGAATCATACAGCCGAAACATGTAATGCGCGCGTTTATTGTAAACTTAAATCAGTATATAATTAAAATATAGCTCATTTTTTGGAAAATTTTTGCATATTAATTATTTGTCTCTTATTAGTTCTTTACATATAATTGTTGATTTCTTTTGATAACTGCTGTTAATATTTTAGGAAGTTATATAGTTTATATTAAATAATTTTATTCAGTTTATATATAGATCCGTATTTAGAATGCGTTTTTATTGATAAAAGCGCGCTTTTATCTCTGAAATTCAATAGTATGCGTATTGTACACTATAGCATATTATGCCCTATCTACAATTGCATAAACGTAATTGTATTAATTATTGTAATTGTAAGAATTGATCAATTACAGTTGAATACGAGGAGAATATCCAACTGTGATTGGAGGATCTTTACAACTACGATTACTTACAACTAGTTTACGCAATTGTAGATCAGGCTTTGAGCGTTAATATCGTTGTACGCGCGTTCTGAATACGGATTTTAAACCCGATCTACAATTGCGTAAACGTAGTTGTAAGTGTTGTAGTTGTAAAAATTGACCAATGACAGTCGAATATTCTTCTCGTGTATTCAACTGTGATTAATCAATTCTTACAACTACAACTACGTTTACGCAATCATAGATCGGGCTTTAAGACGTAAAGACACTCTACAAAGCACGAAAAATAAGCCTAACTTAATGAATTTTTTTCGGGAATGTAATGAAAGAAATAAAAAAAATGTATTTTATGTTTTTGTTGTACATACATTGAAGTGTAAAAAAATATTATTTATAGTGATTTTACAAAATAGTTTTGCTACACAGCTCTGCAATGGTAACATGTCTTTATGGACAATGCTCTGCGGCCGGAACGATAACTCCAGCAATTATAACTTAGAAGAAAAACCAAAAATTTTTTTAATTTACATTCCAAAAGTTAGAAAAAGGCAAGAGATGTACGGAAATTGTAATATACCGTTTTTTGAAAAAATGGTACGAATTTGAAGTAAATGCGTTATGTGATTTAAAGGTAAAAAATAGGTGCAAAATTGTTTATATAAAAAAAGTATGCGACATAAAAAAAATTCGTACGTCTTTTTCTAGAGAATGCAATTTGAAAACTACAGTTAAGATTTGTGGGAGTTATGTTTCCGGCTACATTGACAAATAAGTGACTTTGCAAAATATGCTTGAAGTTTTATGTATAATCAGCGATGGAAATGTTTACTTTCAATCTGCAATACCTGCATCATATAATAGGTCTTTCTTGTTGATGTTCTTTCCTTCCTGATCCTTCTTGGCCGATTTTAGAGATCGAGTCGTACGTAACTAATTCCTTTATTATTTTCAAAAGGACCCCTTCGCAAAAGCTACAAATCTTCTACGAACCGAAAAGTACGACGCTTTAAACTTCGAATATTTAATTTTTCTGTGCTATAAGATCTTCGAGGGGTCAACCACTATGGGAATCACTGTACATTTTTTTAGAAATATATTGCGGCAATAGAGTAATAAAACAGGTAATGCTAGCAATACTAGCAATAGTAAGAATATGCTAGCAATACATAGCAATACAGAGCAATATATAGCAATACACAGCAATACATAGCAATACGTAGGAATACATTAACAATACTTGGCAATATTACATTGGCATAATAGATGGCGATACACGAGGTAATAGATGACAGAGATTATATTTACACCGTGCATTTAGGCTGCGGCCTATACAATACATGTCGTTGTTTATGCTGTAGAGTGTAGGTTAAACAAAGACATCTACCATATAGGTCGCGGACTAAGCGCACGATGTAAACGTAGGCAGTACGAGATACCGGATAACAAGTATACATTTTCGGTAAGCGTTTAATCAATCTTTAATTATATTAGGGGTACGGTCCACTTAACGTCCGCAACGGTCGTGGAATTATTTCATCCTTGTTGTTTATCAAATGTTAAACAAAGACATTGCTTGCGAGCGATAAGTGGAACGCAGTCTAGAAGTAAAATATTATATTCGAGATTATATTCTACCAGAGAGAAATCTGAGAGTAGTTATTTCGGCCTTTTTTGTAGACAAGAACAAAAAATCAAAGTTTGATTGTTTGTCTTTGTTGAACCAACGTATTAATATGGAAGAGAATCACAAAATCGTGCATTATAC